ATGAGAATAATAAACAGAAAAAGAGATGGGTGCACAAAAAGTTAAGTTAAATGTTATACCAAAATTCTTAAAAAGTAAACAAATCTATTTTTTTAAATATTACTGTATAGAGCTCTTTAAATCTATTTTATTTTTTATGTTATTCATAAGCCATAAGCATATACCGCCCGGCTAGAAATTATAGCTCTATTTTACAATGGCCCTAGCTCGATTCACCCCTTTAAATTCATGGGCCTTCCAAGAAAAGTTTGGCCAGGCCCTTGATGGTTTGTTAATGCTCTGGATTGATTGGGCCCTGGTATCGAATTCGAATCGCTGCATCTTTTAGGCGCATCAATATTACATAGTTACATCCCGAGCTAATAAAAGGAAGGTAAAAAACTAATGATGTATTGTGGAATGCTTTCCGTCGATCTCTCGACAGAGAAAAATGATACTGAGGATGGCACAGCGCCGAAACCGATTTACTACGAACCAAAGTTGACAAGGGATGAAGGAAATCATTCTACAATGCATCATATTTCTACCCTGTCGGAAACACAAACAACCAAAAAGAAGTTAAATACTAGTAGTAGAGAGCAAAAATAAGAGCGTGAAAACACAAACTGCTGTCAAACGATTCAACAGGAAGATAAATAAACGTTTAGGTAGTGAGTGAATCATTAAGTAATGGCGAATTGTTGAATTTTTAAATAAAATTTAATTTAAGCATCCATCATCTGTTCACTTACTAATCTCTACAAGTTTTCGGTTTCTTATATTTTGCTCGTTCTTCCTTCTTGCCTCTCTTTGTGAGTGTAGTTTACTAGTTGCTACAAGGTGCAAAGGAGCAAAGCTTGTCCAAAACTTACGAAATCTGCGCAGAACAAATCATCTTCCATTAATTTTTGGCTCAACGTTGTTAAGGTTTGCTCAACAGAGCCTGGTAACTCGATGTCATTTTCTCAATAAAGGAATGAATATTTGATGTCACGCGATGACCATTTTCATGACATCTGGCCGAATAATCACTATTCCGAAATGCGTTGATTAATTCCTTCACTTCTCGAAGTTCAGACCGTAAAAATTTTATTTCGGTTTCGTTTCCAGTTTGCTTTTTCAGAATTTCCATCAAAACTAAGAAATTTATTTAATTTGATCAATTAATAGACACTGCAGTATAATACTAAGATACTGCAATATATTAATAAAATACTGCGGTATAAAAGCTTGTGAAGTGGGGCTCTCAAATTCTAAAGCCATTAGCTATTGACTAATTTATATATTTTTGACTGCTATTGTGATAAAGTGTCACTGTTTACAATTTTTTGCCTCTACATCAATACGTTAGCATTCTGCAACCCATTTTGTAACGAACTGTGAACACCACAAGTGTAAAATTACCTTAAAAGCGTTTTAAAATTAATGAATGGTCAGTGGTTAATGAGTTTCAGTTTTGAGAGTCCCATTTCAGAAATTTTTACTCTTATAATTCCCATACCATTATAATTTGAAACTTGATTATAGGTTACTTTGGGGCTGTTTGATTTTTGGGATGTTGTTGCATTGGAAAGAGTATTTAAGTTCTCGCTTCTCACTTCGTACGAACTTGCAACGATTTTTTCTGAAAGTCGTAGACCGATTACAAAATTTAGGCATGGATAAAACAAATGAAAAAATACAACCATGAAATATAGCATTTTCAGTTTAAATGAAACCTTTTCCAAATGCAATGAAACTTTATTTAAATTAAATGAAACTTCCTTTTTTTGGTTTACTGTGAATTCGCTGTTACACGTTGCTCTTCTTTACGGTCAAGGTATATTGAATAAGTTGTAGCGTAAAACAGCTGCTTTGATTTTTTTCTATTTATATATTTGGACTTTAAACTGCCAAAGTTTGTTTATATATTTTTTTTCATTTTCATAGCGGTTAAGAAACCAGTTTTGGCATTTTAAATACAAAAATGCAATTTATTTTTTAATTTAATTTGAAAAAGGTTTCGCTTAGTCTGAAAAAGGTGTCATTTAATTTGAAAAAGGTTTCGCTTAATTTGAAAATGGTTTCATTTAAGCTGAAAATGCTATATTTACCATCACTGTATAAATCTTTGCGATGCTTCAGACTTTTTGATGATCTTTTAGCAGGAGAGGCTTCAGGTGAACTTGAAAATTGTGGCGATCGTCCTAAATGTAAATTAAGAATTAACTGATGTATATCTGTATAAATATCATATCTACGGCTTATATTCAATACCCTCAGTTTTCGATTTTCACAAAACTAAGATTCCGATATAAAAATCCACCTAAGGCCTAACTGTCATCGATTATGTTAATATTGATAATTGAGACAGTTGGAACTGGCGAATTCGTGTACTTTGGGATCGAAAAAGGATTACAAAATGTCAATCCTGATTTCCACGAAGGTTCTATAGAACTATTGATAAATATAGATGGGGTGCCTGTATACAAATCAAGTACGCGCCAAATGTGGCCCATTTTGGGTAAAATTCACAATTATTACAACGTTTACGAGCCTTTTCCTATAGGAGTCTATTACGGAGATGAAAAACCGAAAGAACTTGATGCGTTTTTAGGAAAGTTCATCAACGAAGTGAACAGATTAAGTAATGGAGTGGAAATTGAGGGAAATTATTACCAATTTAGCATTAAAGCTTTTTGCTGCGATACCCCAGCAAGAGCTTTGCTCAAGGGGATTAAAGGTCACGTTGGTTTCTTTTCATACGAGAGATGCACTATTAAAGGGGTTCGCTTCGATAAACGGACAATTTTCCCTTATTGAGAACATAAAAAAAGAACGGATAACTCTTTTCGTAACAAAGAACAGCCAGATCACCATACCCATTCAACGCCCCTATTGAACATAACTCCTAAGATCAATATGATTACTTGCTTCATCCTCGATTTCATGCATCTTTGTTGTATAGGTGTGATGAAAAAATTGCTCCAGTATTGGCTAGAAAAATTTCCTTTTCAATTGAGTGTGAAACAAAAAAAAGGTTTTAGAACAAAGATCAGTAAATATGGCTTTTCAAGTTCCGGTCGAATTTCAGCTTTAAGACAAGAGCGCTCAAGCACTTCTTAAAGTTCAAGGCCACGGAATTTCGTTTTTTTTTGCTTTACAGTGGCCCAATCCTTATGAGAAAATTATTAAAACCTAGTTATTATCGACACTTTCTACTTTTTCATGCTTCTTGTAGATTATTATGCTCCGATGAATACGCTTTAGTTTATTGCAATAAAGCTAAGACGTACTTAAAAAAATTCGTGGAAAATGCTGGCCATTTATATGGAAAGACGTCGTTTACGAAAACCCTGCATAATTTGTTACACTTGACCGAAGATGTGCAAAATTACGGAT